TTCAACCATAACAACACAAGAGCACACAATAGATACAAACTCAAAGTAAACCGCACCAAACTTGATTGCAGGAAATACGACTTCAGCAATAGAGTGGTCAATGTCTGGAATACTCTACCCGACTCTGTAGTCTCTTCCCCAAACCCCAAAAACTTTAACCTTAGACTGTCTACTATTGACCTCACCCCTTTCCTAAGAGGTCTGTAGGGGGCGTGCATAAGCGCACCAACGTGCCTACCGTCCCTGTCCTATTGTTTCTCTTATTCTTTTATTTTTCTTATATGTACCCATTTCATATATTCACAACTATGTATACACTTGTACTTATTATCTTGTAAACAATTGACAAATCAAATAAATAAATAAATAAATAAATAAACTCCCAGAATTCCTGAGCTAACATGACTGGAGGAGGAATTCTGCGAGTTGAAGTCCAGAAGTCTTAAGGCTGCCAAGTTTGAAGACCCCTGCCAAGACTCAAGGCGGGGAGCGGGTTGTTGGCATGTCTTCCACTCCCCCCCCCCCCGCCCCGGAGAAACCTGAAAGGCAAGGACACGCCTCTTCAGATCCAGCCAATAATAACCAGAGACGGTCCTCGCCCACCCCCACTGCCTTGTGGGAAGCGTAGTCTTTCCTGCTTTGGCGTTCGTCCGTGGCAAGGAAAGGGAAAGGAAGGTGGGCAGAGGAGCTGCTGCTGCTGTTGGTCCCAGGGGCGTCCGGGCTGGTGGCGGCTCCGGCTTCTTCAGCCTTCCTCCTCCTCCTCCTGCGCTCATCCCTCGCCGCCTGCGCCCGATCCCGGCTGGGTTGGGGACGTGGGCTGGAGGGGAGAGCCATGAACCGAGGCTTCGGCTCGGCGGCGGATCGCAACAAGGAGCCCATCCTGGCCGTCCTGCGGGGCTACGTGGGGACCCGGCCGGGCGTGCAAGCGCTGGAGGTGGCCTCGGGCTGCGGGCTGCACGCGGCGCATTTCGCCCAAGCGCTGCCCAACCTGGAGTGGCAGCCTTCCGACGTGGATCCCCAAGCCCTGGCGAGGTGAGGAGGGGCAAGGCAGGGTTAGGCGGGTGGGCGAAGCCCCCCTCTGGGCTTTCCCTGCCTTGCTTTCCACGCTGGCGGGCTCTCCCCTCTCGCCCTTAGACTTCTATACCGCTTCACAGGCCTCTCTAAGCTTATTACCTATTAATACCTAATATTACTATTACCCCCTTCATTTGACCCACCTCGGAAGGAGGGAAGGCTGAGTCAACCTTGAGCCTGGTGAGAATCGAACTGCTGGCAGTGGGCAGAGTCAGCCTGCAATGCTGCATTCTAACCACTGTGCACCATGGAAGGGAGAGAGGGCAATAGCAATAGCACTTCGACTTATATACCGCTTTATAGTGCTTTCCAGCCCTCTCTAAGCAGTTTACAGAGTCAGCCTCTTGCCCCCCAACAATCTGGCTCCTCATTTTACTGACCCCGGAAGGAGGGAAGACCGAGTCAACCTTGAGCCTCGTGAGATTCGAACTGCCAATTTGCAAGCAGCTGGCAGTCAGCAGAAGTAGCCTGCAGTACTGCACTCTAACCACTGTGCCACCGCAGCTCATATGCTCTGGTTTGTCCTGCCAAAGTTGGTGGGATGCAGGAGTGGGGGTGTTTTCCTTTGGGTTTCTTTTATTATTGTTTTTCTTTTGCCTGTTTATATGGCTGGTTTCCAATAGAAGAGGATCTCTGTAGCTCAGAAATTGACTGTGGGGTCCTTGCTGCTGTCTGCACTTTTCTTGCAGACGTTTCATTACCAAACTAGGTAACGTCATCAGTCTTGGCTCTGCCTACCTGCAGAGTTCTCCCATTTCCATGCTTTCTGAAGGGTGACATCCATATGTAGTACCAAGGGAAGAGAATGTTTGTAGGTCAGGGTTGAACTACGGGATCCATGATGCTCTCTGAGCTTGGTGGTTTCCTTGCAGACATTTCATTACCAGCGCTGATTACATTACCTAGTTTGGTAATGAAACGTCTGCAAGGAAACCACCAAGTTCAGAGAGCACCAAAGGACCCCACAGTTCAACCCTGAGTTACAATTACTCTCTTCTATCGGAGTTTAATAGATGATTTGAAAGAGGGATGAAAAGGAGAACTAACCTGCTTTTAGGTTTTGGAGATGGGTCAGTTTCACGAAAGCTTCTTCTGAAGACATTAAGGGCTTTCCTTCGAGGAGAAATAATAATAAATGCAAAACTCTTTGACTGGAGGGTATTATTATGCAGAAGGCATGTCAGACAAACTTTCCTTGCATTGCTTGGCTGGTAGTTATTAACTCAGAAGCTCATCTCTCTTCTCCTGAAGGAGTCTACAGCCATAACTTGCTTCTGTGGAGAAATACCCCTCCTAAAAATTTACTGATTCCCCCGATGTCTTCTGCAACATGGGCGTCAAACTATTCTCCAAAGCAGGGCTCTCCAACCTTGGCAACGTTACGACTTGCGGACTTCAACTCCCAGAATTCCTCAGCCAGCATGCGCTGGTTGTAAAGTTGCCAAGGTTGGAGAGCCCTGCTCCAAAACACCCGAGGCCAGGAGAAGAAGCCATGGGTGGGGGAACTAATCCAGGAGAGAAGCAACTTGGAACTAAGGAGAAATTTCCCTGATAGAATAACAGAGTTGGAAGGGACCTTGGAGGTCTTCTAGTCCAACCCCCTGCTTAGACAGGAAACCCTATACCATTTCAGACAAATGGTTGTCCAATCACTTCAACAGTGTTGTTGGAGCATTTACAACTTCTGGAGGCAAGTTGTTCCATTGGTAAGTTGTTCTATTTTATGGTGGTCAACAGATTCTCCTTCCTCTTTCTCTCTTTGTAGCATCTCAGCGTTTATCCAAACGCTCCAGCTCTCAAATGTCAAGCCGCCCATCTACTTGGACTCCTCCCAGAGCTGGGAGACTTGGGGAGGCCTGCGTCCGAATTCTTTGGATCTCATCGTCAACATCAACATGATTCATATCTCAGAAATGAAGTGCACTCAGGTGGGGAGGCTTGACTTTCAAAGTTTGCTCAGCCATAAATCCCTTTCGGCTCGCCAGGATCGATGCTGGACTTCAGTTGGTTTCGCTTTGGGCGTCTCCGGATTAGGCGACAGTAATGTAGGATAGCAAAAAAAACAAAAACAAAACCCCACAAAAAAAAGCCAGAAATCTGGTAGCACTTTTTCTGACGAGCAAATTCTATTCAAAGGCAGTTGCTTTGACAAGTCAGGTGCTAAGAGAAAGGGAGTAGGAGACCTGTGAGTTTTTGCCACGTAGGCGAATGGGGCTCTCTTCTGACAGTTTAACATACAGTGAAGCTTTGTTTTAACCAACTTCATGGTAGGGAAGCTTGGTGTCCCAGTTAAGGCACTAGGCTTGAAAATGGGAGAAGGTGAGTTCTAGTCCCATCTTAGGCACGAAAATTGGCTGGGTGATTTTGGGCCAATCACCAGGAGACGGTGAGTTCTAGTCCTGCCTTAGACATAAAAGCTGGCTGGGTAACTTTGGGCCAATCGCTAGGAGAAGACTGAATTTGAATCCCACTTTAGGCATGAAGGTCAGATGGGTTGACCTTGCCTCACCTCTCAGCTCTAGGATGGAGGCAACAGCAAACTTAATAACCACAGCAAAACAAAACAAAAAAAAGATTGTGACCCTCCTAGACCTTCTTTCCAGAACTCATGGCTTCTCCCTTCTTCCTCTCCTGGCTTCTGTTTGTGCAGGGTTTGTTCCAGGGAGCTGGAAAACTACTCAAACCCAAAGCAGTGATGATCACCTATGGAGTAAGTGTTTTGCTCCGGGATGTTGTACGTTTAGTCATCAAAAAGCAGAGGGAGATTAGCTACTCCTGATTCTCCCAGGGACGATTCAAGGAGAAATAATCTGGTTTTGGAGCTTGGCATTCTGCCTCGCCATTAATGAAATTATTTAAATTGATTTCCTTGCTTCTATTTTTTCTTTCGACCAGAGGTCTCCAAACTTGGCAACTTTTAAGACTTGTGGACTTCAACTCCCAGAATTCTCCAGCCAGCGTAGCTGGAATTCTAGCATAGAATTCTGGGAGTTGAAGTCTTAAAGTTGCCAAGTTTGGGGACCCCGCTTTAGACCGGAGGGCATGGATGCTCTCGATAGGGGAGAGACTCCCCACTCTGTTGGAGGATGACTTTATCTAACAATTTGTGATGGTGTTGTTGTTTTGCTTCTGTGCTCCGTAGCCCTACGCAGTGAATGGTTCCATCACTCCACAGAGCAATGTGGATTTCGATTACAGGTTGAGGCAGAGGTGAGCAATGCAGAGCTTGACCAGGGGAGTTAGGTGGGAGGAGTAGAAGTGCGGGGGGGGGGGAGGGGAAAAAAAAAGTCAGGATGGCAGTACAACTACGCAGAAATTGTTTTTAGTTTGCAGAATTATTTTTTTAATAGAAGGCTAATGATCTTCCTTCCTTCCTCTTCTTCCTCCTTCTCTTTCTATTTTCCTTCCTTCCTCTGCTTCCTTCTTCTCCTCTTTCTCCTCTACGTTTTCCTTCCTTCCTCTCCTCTTTCTCTTTCTTCCTTCCATTTTCCTTCCTTCCTTTGCTTCCTTCTTCTCCCTTTTCTCCACTTTCTCCTCTCCATTTTCCTTCCTTCCA